GTGTGGGTGTCAACACCACAGCCCCCCAGTTTCTTAATGAGAAGGGGGTGAGAGACAGTGTCGAATGCCTCCCCAAAGTCCAGGAAGACTATGTCCACTGCTACCCCTGCAGCTAAGGATTTGGTGATCTGGTCATAGAAGGCTACCAGGTTGGTCTGACAGGACCTGCCACTGATGAACCCGTGTTGATTGCCCCTAAGCATAATCTCCCCTGCTGGCCCCTCCTGGATATGCGCCAGAATAATTTTCTCAAAAAGCTTGCCCAGGATTGAGGTAAGACTAACTGGCCTATAGTTTCCCGGGTCCTCCTTCCTCCCCTTTTTGAAGATGGGAACCACACTGGCCCTCTTCCAGTCCTCTGGCACTACACCAGAGCACCACGAGTGTATTTACTACTTGCCAGTTTCAGAGATAGGACGCTGTATGGTGTTTCTTATATTCTTATTATCCAGTCTACCTTGTGTCTGACAGCCTAACCCTGAGGGAAAAACCCTCCAAAAACCCACAGCTTTTAGGGCCTACAGTAGTGATTATAAATTTAAGACCTAAGAGAAGATAATCTAGTTTTCTTTGATTTAAGAAACAAAATTGACCAAAATGGTTCTAAATTTTGAAATATTCCTACTGAGCTCCTGAAGCTGAAGACACACAAACATGTAAATTGTGCACACAAATGAATCAAGCAATGATTATAACTACGTCAGATAATAATGAGGTCAGTGATTTTCAAACACAGTCCTGAGACCCCATGGGGTGCCTTGAGATCCTTTCAGGGGTGTTGCAGGGTGCCATGCAATGTTAGCACTATTATGTGTACACACATGATTCACAAGACAAAGGCATAGATTTCACATAGGAATCCATAGTGTTAAAAGCATATCAACCTGTTGTGGTCTTTCTGGGTTCACTGTAACAGAAGAAATTGCTCTATTATATTTCTCAAGTCAAAAATCAAATGAAAACTAAGAGCTAACATTTTACAGGTGGCATCTTGAGTTTAAAAAGTTTGAGAACCACCGCAATAAGTCATGTGACATTTTAAAAAAATGTTTCAAAATATTCTAATTTACAATACTGACTAAATATCTAGAAAATTGAATTTAAAAAAATAGAACCAACGTGTGCCTTAAAAACATAAAAGTGTCTTAAATTGGGTAACTTCTATGTTTTATACAACCCTAAAAAATGATGGGAATACATAAAGGGAAATTTCTTAAAAGGAACAAAACAAAACAAAATGGAGGCAAAGTATAAGAAAGAAAGATGTTCTCTGTAAAACAGTGTACACAAAGGGCCAAATATTCTTCCCATACACCTGCATCTCCATACTGAATATTC